AGCCCTGCGTTGCTCACCAGACATGTCATGGGGTTTATGGGGTAAGCACCAAAGCAGGGGAAGGGCTCTGCATGTTTTCCAGTGTCAGAGAAATGCAGCATAAAAGTTTGTCAGACCGGGACAAACCTGGGGGACATTTTCACATCTAAATCTGGAGGTCAGAGCAGAGCTGGAGAGGAACAGATAGTGGAGTAATGGTTAGAAATAAACCCCAGAGGTATGGTTTTAAGCTAAGCAGGGCTGTGGATGCAGTAAATGCCATATTTGTGCGAAACAGCCTGGCAAAGGCATCTGCTAACTCCATTGCATCTCAGAGCCAGGGCTCCTTAAAGACACAGGCTTTGCACCACAAAGCCAGCAGTTCCCATTACACCAGGTCTGGAGGAGGCAACCGGCTTGTGATAAGCCTCAGAGCTTAATGGACTCATTGTCTTGCCTTTCAAAGGTGAAGAAAAAAAAGAAGGATCAACTTTTTTGATGCTTAAGACAAAAGCAAGGGAGAAAAAGGGGTGTAATCATTCCTTTTCAGGGATAAATTGGAATTTCTGTGACAGATTAGCTTTTCCAGGGAAGATATCACACAGCCCATCTGTGGAGTGGGCATGACTAATCCAGGTTCCTTCCAGAAGAATGCTGATGCATTCAGGCTACAAACACACACAGGGCCCGTGGGGGTGGGTCTGTGGGATCCAGCTTATCCCACAACCGTCTGTCCACAGCCTCTCTCTGCACCTACCCTATACAGCAGCTGCTCCAGGACACCAGGCCAAACATCACCAAAATCAAGGGAAAGATGGTTTTGGTGCTGGGCTGGAGCACAGGGCAGCCCAGGTGGCTACCAGCAGCTGTGCTGGGACAGCAGGACAAGCCTAAAGCGATGCTCCAGCTCAGCAGGACCATCCCCAGCACACAGCTGTGCTGTGCAGCTGGAGCTCTGGGTGAGACATGCCAAACACTGAGGGCCAGGAGGGAGCTGGCTCCCACCTCTCCCCCAGCTCAAAAGAAAAAGTGGGTGTCAGGCCCCTGCAAGACTTTGTACCCCAGGGAAATCCCTCCCTCCCTCCTGCGCAGGAAGCAGAGCGAGGAGATGCTCCTTTCTGATGTTCGCTTGTGAATAGAGCAAATTATTTCTGCCCACGTACAGCTTTCATCTAGGAATCTAAAGCAGCAATTAGTAGTTTTATAACTCTTTTGCCTACTCGTTTCATGACTAGCTAAGCTCAGCTTTAGAACAAAACTGAGGTTTGAACTAAGACCTGGCATGATCTGCCCTGTTGGATCATCAAAGCATGCTCCCTTCTCATGTTTGCAGGGGTATCAGGTTGCGTGGTTTTTTTTATTTTAAAGCACAATGGACAGAGAATACAAATGTATCTGCCTGGAATAATGTGAATTTGCAAAATTTTCCTTTAGTTAAAGCAAAATTTCCATAAATGATTGGTAAAATAGAACAGATAAAGCCTCACCTCTGGTAAATTTTGAAATATATTGTAAGCTATTTTACGGAGACAACCATCAGAATTACCCAAGCCCAGTGTGAGCTGGGTGTTGGGCGTTCAAATGAATATGTATCTTGTGAAGAAAAAAAAATCTCTGATATATGCATTTATGACAGTAAAAAATATAAAAACAGATCAAGCATATCTGTAAGAAATGCTAGAAGAGTTTCCCTTGACAACGTATTTTTTTCATAAAGGCTTTCAAATGGAAGTTATGTATATTTATTCTAACTGGCAGAAGGGACTCAAGGGAATGGGAAGGAAGATGCTAATAGACGTTCAAGTGAGGATGCAGTGAGTGCAGGGAGTATTGCACACAGGGGCTTTTCCAACCAGGTACAATGGATTTAGATTAACAGTCCAAATAAAAAGCCCTGTACTTACAGCTCAGTGAGGCTTCCCAGCAGGGAGTCGAGTGGCTTGTCTCAAAGGAGCCATTAGAAATGCGTAAAGAAGGAGGAAACCCTTATCCTTTGCCTGCAGCCCAGTCCTAAACACCCTGTCACCCCGGGCTTGTGACCTTGCACGTCCCAGGTGTGCAGGGCTGGTGGCTGCAAACTGCTGAAGTCCTGTGCAGGATGCCGATGGGGCTGGGGTAGGGCTGGGGGTCCCCCGCTGGGTACCTGAGGGGGACAGCGGGGCTGCCTGACCTCCCAGCTCCTGCGGGATGGTGTCCCCACCAGCTATGTGCTGGGGCAGGACTGGGGAGACACCTGCTTTCTGGTCATGCAAAAGAGCCCCATCCCCATCGCTGTGCATCCCTGTACCCGTCGGCCTGAAGATGCTCAGGACCAAGCCCTTCCTTTGGCGGTGGGGCAGTTTGCCAGGCAGGCGGGGGGAGCATGGAAGGGGGATTCCCACTGCTGGCTGCTCCCTGCAGGCAGAGCAGAAGCTGCTGCTGTACACTGAGAGGCCACCGGAATGCCCAGGGCTGGGGATGCAGGTGACGGGCGGACTCCCTCCCTGCCTGCTTCGGGGTGCAGGAGTGGGTGATTACTCGGGTTTCTACTGCGAGCGGGC